TGTGTTCCTGAGGTGGGATCTCTGCACCCGCCACAGGGCTGCCCAGAGTCTAGGTATGATGCTGGCTTTCAGGCAGAGACATCCCAGCGAGGGAGCTGCAGGCACCGGGGAGTGTCCACACTGCTCTTTTTGTTCAGCTGCAGGGCAGTGCCTGAGCGAGGGTGTGAAACCACAGGCCTCAACATCTAACCCTTCCCCACTGGTGTCAGAGAGGAGCAGCTGCCTAAAACTAGGGCTTCTGGTGCATACAGCATTAAGGGGGGTTGGAGTCTCAGTTTCAGGGCAAATCAAAACACAGACAAAGTTTTTCAAAATTTCCAGCCAGCTTGACGCTCCCCAACCCTGCACCCAGCTGCTTTGCAGTGTGAGACTGGTACCAGCAGGGACCGAGGAGAGGCTGGGTTTCACTTGGTGGCTGCGAGGTCAACCACTAAAACAGCCCTGCCAGGGGATGGGGACTCGGCAGCCTCCAGCATCCCAGCCCTGGGGCTCCGCCTGCTGCGTTGCTCCATTACATCTCGTTTCTTCTCTGAGCAGCCCCTGCTCTGTGCAGGTGCCTCTGGGCAGCACAGCCCTCTGCCAGCCCTGTAGATGCCAAACATGAGCCCAGCTCTGCAGCAGGCTCCCCAGGAGCAGAGGGGACTTCCTGGGTAAAGCCCGGGCTGGGGAGCCAGGCCCGGGAGAAGCAGTGCAGCCTGGCAGCCAAGGGTCTACTTGGCCCTGCCAGACAGACCTGGGCCAGCAGCTGTGGGAAAGAAAGACCCGGGCCCGCGGGGATGGCTGGAGGCTCTTGCCAGGCCTTCCCTCCTCCTATGCCCTGTCCAAGGCCTCTCCTGTCCAGTCTTTCTCTACTTAGCAGGTGAAACAGCAGCATCCCTTGGAGCCAGCTTTCCCTGAGCTGGGGGAAGGGGCTCTCCCTCCTGTTCTCTGGTCAGCAGGCCTCTGCTCAGAAAGCTTCTCCCTAAGTATCTTTGTCTTCCCTTGAATTTCCCTGCTTCATCCTGAAGGGCCTGATCTCCCATCACCAGTGCCAGCACCTTCCACTGGGGAAGAAGTGCTGCAGTGGTGGGGTGACCTCCCCCGCGGGACAACCCTCCCAGCCCCTGGCTAGGGGCTGGCTCATGCCCCGTGGCAGGAGGGCCCAGCTCCCTGCTGGAGCTCCGGGGCTTTTCCCGCGTGAGGCTGGGTGCTGTCATGCTCCATGGACACGCCAGTCCTTCCCACCACGCTGTGCCTGGGACTGGCCCTCTCCTGCTCAGTCGCTATGGTATGGAGACCCAGTCTCTCCTGCACAAGCTCTCCCACATCCTTGACCTGTCCTTGCATCCGGTGCAACTTCATCAGCTGGTCACAGGCAGTGCTGCCCTGCCGCCAGTTGGACCCCCCTCCTGCCCATGCCTCAGAGCCATTTACAATGCATGTGGTGGCAGGGAAGGTTGCAGCGATACAAAATATTTACACCCTCTCTGTGGCCAGCTGTGCAGCCAGCTCTCTCTGCTCCCAGAAGCCAGCACAAATGTCAGCGCTGGCCAGTAATGCCTCTCCCTGCACCCTCCCCCCATGGGCATGTCGAGATTTCAGGGAGAAACGGAAGTAGTCTGATCCAGAAGTGTGGCTGCAGCGCATGGTGGGAGGTGAAGCTCAGTGACCATGCTTCCTGTCTGCTCCTCCCACGGTGCATCGCGGCCTCGCCTCTCGGCAAGGAGATCCAGTCGTGGGAGATGGAGCGATTCCCTCTTGGGAGCTCAACCCCGGGGAGTGGGAACAGGGAAGCAACTGAACAGCAGCTCCCGTGAGGCCAGGCAGCGCTGTAACCACACCAACACTTTTCAACTTTTTTCAACCAAAAAAAATGGAAATTCCCCATTGATCCTGGATACTGTTCACCAACCCCCCAATTCTTCAGCAGCCATTTGGATGGAGAATTTTAACCCATCCCCATACTGCTCTCCAAGGCCTCTCAGGCATATTGCTAGCCCGGGCACCTCCTACCTTGATGAAGGCATAGCCTGCCCCATTGTCCGTGATGGTCAGCCCCAGAGCATCCTCCGTCTTCATCACCTCCACTTCCTTGGTCTCGCCCCGGACGTGTGCAAAGATGAAGTCCTCCAGGCCGATCTGCCCCCCCAGCAGCTTCTGCATGTCCACTTTGTGGGTGTTGAGTGTGCAAAATAGGATCTGCGGAGAGCAGCTCATCACTGCCTGGTACACTGTGCCCGGGCCTTCCCATGCTGGGGCTGAGGGCACACGCAACGGGCACAGTGGTCTGGAGCAACCCCAGGCACACCCTACGTGTGCACTGCTCCCAGCTGGTCCAGCTATGGCAACAAAGAACAGGGATCAGCTGGGGACCCTGTTTTCACCTAGGGAACAGGGCTTTCCTGGACAAATATCAGCCTCATTCACTCATTGACAAGGGGCCACAAACATCGCTACCAGTCAATGCTGGACTGCCTGGGGCAGACTCAGATTAGGGTGCTGGCTCAGAAGCACCTAATCCAGTGCTTTCTTAACCACGCTGCTTGCTGTACAGCAGGTCCTGGGTTTAGATCTTTCCCAGGGTGAGGTGGGGGGGGGCAAGGAAGTTAAGGAAACTGAGGCACAGAGAGGGAAGTAACAGCCCGGGTGTCCCAAAGCAAGTGGCAGTAAGGTGGGCTGCCTGTGGCGGTCCACACTGCTCGCCAGGTAGGGGCAAGCTGCACCCAAGGCCAGACTCAGGCCTAGGAGGTTGTGATGCTGTGAGGCATGGCATCACGGAGGCAAGCCCACCACTCTTGACCAAAGAGCTTGGCATTCACCCTCTGGTAACCAGAGCTGGTAAGCTGGAACGTGCCCGGGCTCTGAAAGAAGCAGGAAATGCCCCTCCTCCTCCTCTCCCAAATTGGATCAACATGGTAAGGATGGCAGAGGAGAGCCGTAGCACTGGCGCAGCCAGCTCAGGCTGCCTGCCCCACTCCTCCACGTAAGCCGCGCTCCCCTCACCTCAGTTGGAGAGATGCTGAAGACCTCGGCGATTTTGGCATACAGCTCCTTCACATTGGTGAAGCCCTCAATCTTCCCGGTGGGGCTGCCATGGGCCAGCTGCGTGTGGAATACCAGCCTGGGCCGCACCCGTGGGGGGGGCTGCGAGCCGTGAGAGTGGGCAGCAGGGCCACTGTCCTCCTTTCTCCCCACCTCAGGTGAGGCCTCTGCAGCCCCCAGCTCCTGAGCCACTCCGTTCTCCATGGACTTCTCCTCCTCACTGGCTTTTTTGTTCTGTCTGCCTGACCGGTGCATCTTCCTGCCACCCAGCTTTCGGGGGCACAATGGCAGTTCTCCCTACTGAATTATAGATGCCCACTAGCTCCCAGCCCGGCAGTAAGGCGATCCCAGGCCCAGGGAACCTGATCCCCTAGGCACAGGTAATTCAATTAGTGTCAGATGAGCTCTCTTCCATGCAGGCAGGCGTGGGTCTACTGAGCTGCAGGGACAGGGCAGGCACCATGCCAGAGGAGCTACAAACACCTGCAAGCAGCAGCTGTGCTCACAGGTAGGGAGTGTGTTTGCTCACACAGGGTGTTAGCTCCCATCAAAGTCCACATGCATTGCTTATAAACCCAGCCCCTTCTTGCATGGTGTGGCAACCCACGCCCAGTGAAAGATTTGTAACTTGGTTTTGTCACAAGAGCTCTGTGACAATGGCCAAGGGGACAGGACATGAGAGCTTTGTAAGCCAGACAGCCCAAACCTGTCCAAGCTGTTTCACCCCAGGCCACGCTCCCTGGTGCTGCTTTGCCTGACAGCTAGTACATGGGTTTGCACTTCTGAATGTGCAAAGCTGCACCTCAAACAGTCTGGGTCCCGAGGACACTGCTCTGTTCAAGCACAGAAACCAACATCAAAAGCCCTGTGCAAAAGCCTGACTGACACCAAGAAATTGAGCCACAAGCATTGCCTCTCGCGGGGCAGTTTAATGACACCACAAACATTTTGTGCCGCTCTGCTCAGCACATCTGCTCTGTGCCATGCCTGCAGGTCAGAGTCCGGCCTTCACTCCCACAAGCAAATGCTGTGAGGCTTGCTGGAAACAGCAGAGCAGTGGGACTCCTGGCTGCTTTTGGTTCTCCGGTGTGCCAGCCAACCTGCAGTGAGGCCCCGGCACAAGACCCAGTGCTGGGACTGAAGTCAGGACAGACCCAGGGTTGCCTCCAGATTCCAGGGCAATTTGGGAAGAAAGTAAATGGGATCTTTTTTCTCAGTTCAGGGGTGGCCACGATTGGCACAGATAGCCTCTGTGGGTGGCACATGGCAGATGACGGATGGAGCACCAGGCACATCAGCAGATAGGGCAGGGAGTAGAAAGCAAAGCAGCAAATTGGGCAGAGAGCACAGGGAAGGCAGCACAAAGCAGAGCAGATCAGGCAGGCAGCATAGACCAGGAGGCAGAAGGCAGTGCAGTAGATAAGACAGGGAGTACAGGGCAGGGGCAGAGAGCAGAGCAGATCAGGCAAGGGAAGGGGACACTTGGAGTGACACTTGGGGAGGCCACAGGGCTAATTTGCAGCATGCCTACCAAAATTGTTGACCCCATTGTACTCAGTTGATCTGGAATCGCAGAAACAATGAATTTCCAGCCACAGGCAGCCTTTCTAATGTAGCACTCCAGCTGGAAGCTATGCAGAGCCCCTCCTTACAGGAAAGGTGTAGGCTTGAATCCCTCACTAGCCTTTCCCCTTGCAACCTGGGACCCAATCCTGACTATCCTACCAGTGCTTCTACAGGGTAAAACTGCTCCACAAGAGAAATTCTGGCCTCATGAAAGGCAATGAGAGTTTTGTTGTTGGCTTCACATAGGCAAAAGAAACCAACGGCAATGCTCTCACTGAGTTCAGGGTTGCTAGGGCACTGCCTTTTTGAAGACTTGCCAGGTCCTTTGAAGTTCTCTGTGGATCTTTGTCTTCACACAGCTCCTGAGATCAAGGGCCCTTGGCTCTCAACTGCTCCAAAAGAACCAACTTATGTCTCCAAGACAAGTACTTTGGTTTCCATGATGTGGCTGAGCAGGGGCAGCAGCAGGGAGTCGTGTGCCTCACTATGCCCAAGGCTACTCAGGAAGTCTGTGACAATGTCAGGCCAGGGCCCAGATCTGCTGATCCTCATCCTGGCCTTTAGTTACCAAATCATAACCAGAATGTTCATCTTCAAAGCACTTGCAAACATGGCATATGTTACTCTTGGAAAATGTGGGCCAGGCTGGTTAGGGAAAAATCTAGGGCAAGGCAAAACCCATTGAATAGGACTGTGTGGGCCAGACCTGTGTGGGCCTGTGGGAAGACACAGGCACATGGCTGAGGAAGTCTCTCCTCCATGTCCTCAGATCTCTGGTCCTGGCCCCTTACCCAGCTCCCTCCACATCGAAGTACCAACCAGAACAGCCCCCCTTTATTACTGGGATGCTCCAACATGCCAGATTCTCCCAGGGCAAAAAGTCTTGATGGTGTCAGCAAAGTCTTCCTGAGAACACCCAGGGGTTCCAGTGCACCAATATACAGAGATATCCCTCGGTGACAAAGCAAGAGGAACCTCCCACTAGGAACATCCCCACACTCAGCCCAGGTCTCACCAGCTTTTGGACACTGATCACCCTCTTTCATACAACCAGACTCACCATCTTCTACCATTGTCTATGATCCCCACCAGCCCATGAGCACGTGCATACCCCCTCCTCCCCCTGTGCCCACAAACACAACGCCACAGCCTGGTTATTCAACCCAGTTTTTATTTAACCAGTCTCCAGGAGCATTCCCAGGCAGGGTGGGCAGCAGCTGGTCCACCTGAGAACAGGTTAAGTGCTGAGGCCATGGAGATGCTTACAGAAAGAGGCTAATTCTTGCTGTCACGCTAAACTCTACAGAGTATTGACCTCAAGGGAGAGGCTGTTTCTTGGAGTGGATATACACTGATTCCTAATATAGAACCTGGTTATGTGGTGCTAGTAAGAAAATAAGATGCTCTATAACGACTTGATTAAGTTTAGTGGCTGAAGTCAGCTGTTAGGAGGCACCTGGGTGAGACAGGCAGGTCCCCTCTTCATGATCCTCAGGGAAGGAGGGCAATGGTTGCTGCAGGCACCAGGGCAGCTCCTGACACAAAGAAACCCTAAGTAGGGACCCTCAGAGCACTGCTCAGTTCAGGGTTAAAGATACCCCCAACTACCCTCACCACAGAGCAGGGCAAAGCAAGGTGCGGGTTTGGTCCCTATTACTGGACTCCCTCAGCCCCCTACTGACCACAACAAACCTGCCCGCAGCACTTGTGTGAGGGTTTGAAGCTGGAGGAACCAGAGGCACAGAGTTTCCACTACACTATGTCCTACTGGGATGCGCTGGGGTGACTCAGGCCTGTGGATGAGCTGAGAGCTGAACCCAGATCTACTGGGTCCTGGTTTGCAGCCTTGACCCCCATCTGCCCTGCCTTCCATGACTGTCCAGCTGTCCACAACCATCAGCTATGCCCTGCTAGGGCAATGCTGAAGACACCCTGCACTGGGAGCAAGCCAGCATCAGGTGATGGAGTGGAGGACAGGCCCCGTAAGCAGCATCCCTCATCCAGTCATAGCAGGCTAGCTACAGCCCTAAACCCAGAGATGCCCAGCTCCCAGGTCTCAGCTGTACTGAAACAACAGGAACTGCTCAGCCCAGTTGAACTATTCCTCCAGCAAACATGTGTGCCAGGCAGAGGCATACAGCAGTGCGGTGGCTAGGGCAGAACCAGCTCTCTGCAGCAGCTGAACATGAAGGCAGGGGGAGGAGGTGTCGAGGGTTCCCGTCAGTCAGTGCTTTGCTGCAGCAGGAGGGTCCTCTTCACAAGTGTTCACTGAAACAAGGAGTGAAGCAGGTGGATTCACTTTTCAGGAGTTCTGCAGGGAAGGAGCTTCTGGTCTCTCAGCCCCAAGGAACGATCCATCCTGGAACCAGCAGTGCCCCCCCTGCACTGCTACATGCCTGCCTTGGGTCTGTGCTGGGGAGATCCCAGCCTCTCTGGACATTGGACTTTTGTCTTCCTGCCTGTCCAGCCACCAAGAGAGGATGCTTAATTCCAAAGCACATTCTGTGATGCAGATGCCTGCTGCCCCACTGGGAACAGATCGAGGTCAGCAGCTCCTTCTACACTGGCAGGTGCCCAGTGTTAATCTGACAGGGCAGGCTGAGCCACTCCCAATGCAGCCCAGCAGGACAGTATCTCGGGAAGAGCTGCACAGAAGGTTGCTCCTTCCCTCTCCTGCTGACACTGGGCTACTCCCAAACTATTCCAAGCTTGGTCCACCAAGATCAAGGTGCTTATCAGGAGTACACCACTGCCTGACACTGGTGGTAGCGTAGGCAAACATTACAGCTCCCCGCCCAGTGCTGCAGACATACCTCCCCACTCTAGGAAGCCCTGCTTACCTGGCTATCCGGGACAGGATCTCTTTGATACGCACGACCAGCTTCTCGTGCTGCAGAGGGTTGCTCTCGATGGCGCTGTGCAGTTTGGCCATGTAGAAATCCAGGGTGCCCAGTGTGGGGGTCTCTCCGGTGCCTGAAACAGATGCCCATGAACTGGGGGCAGGGGCCACACATCGCATTATACCCAGCCCCAGCCTTTTGCTGGGACCAACATTCTGTACTGGGACAGCTGCCAATCAGCTCCACACCCCCACATGCCTGGAGCCCAGACAAACCCAGTGCTGCAATGGCTAGATAGCTTCTGCTGGTGGTAAGGATCCCTTTGAATCTGCTCCCTCACACACAGATCCTTCCAGGGCACTGCTCTAAAGGGTTGCAGGCAACGGGGGCAGGGCAGTCCAAGCATAGGGTGCAAACACTTCCAGCCCCCCGTGAATGTGGTTTACAGTCAGTTGGATCAGCTCAGCACTTCATCTAAGCCAGTGTGCAGGCATAGGCCTGCAGAGACCCTGCTGCCAAGGCCTGGTCAGCTCTGTCCATACAAGAGACAGCAGGGCACTTTCCTCAATAGCAGGGGCTAGCACTGCCCTCACCTGCACAGTGTGCTCAGCCTGCCTGGCACCCAGGATCTGCCCCAGAGGGGCCTGCTCTGTAGTGGAGGCAAAGGCAAAGAGTCTATGCAGTGCCTGGTGATCCTTTCAGGCAGCATTTCCCAGAGTGGCAGTGTGCTCCCATTCCTAGCAGGGACATGTGTGAATCAGAGCCACTGGCAAGGGGAATCTATGGCTGTGATTTTTGTGTCCGCCAGGAACCAATGGCAGTGGGGGTTGAATCAAGGGGGGCACAAGGGTGGCCAACCTTGCTATGATGAGGTATAAACCCACAAAGCTTGGGAAACGTCACTTTAAGGCAAGGGGGGAAGGGAAGGTGGTTTGGTAGAAGTTTTGTGAATCCCTGCAGGGTAAAGGTCCCCAGTTCCAGGGAGCCAGGCTCAGCCAGCATCAGGTCCTCTTATGGGAATGCAGCCAAGAGCACATCCCTATAGGTCACAGAGAGGGTCCTTCCAGGCAGCATCCCAGGCTCCCTTCTCTGCCTCCCAGCTTACCTGGGATGGGCAGGGAGGCAAAGCTGGTGGTCAGGGCCTGCCGGACAGACTGGAGTTGCTGCTGCAGGGCCAGTGTCTGCCTCTCCTCCAGTGCCAGCTCCTGCTCCAGCCTCTCCTTGGCACAGCTCATGCTCTCTGTGTGCTTCTGCAGAATAGCATTCTGTTCTTCAAACTCCGTGTTCATCTTCCGCAGGCGCCGCAGTTCTGCCTCCCGTGCTGCCCCACAGAGATGAGTAGAGGGGTCAGTACAGAGAACAGGGGCATCCCCCAACAGGCTCACAGGGCCTCAGGGCCAAACCCTCTCTCCTGGGGACTGAGCAGGGCTCAAGCAATGGCATCAGCCTCACCCTCAGTTCTCTGGATACAGCACGGACTGGAGCCCCCAGCCAGGATCAGTGCCCTTGTGTGCTAGGTGCTATAAGGGTTCCCTACCTTTCCCTTCCTTTGTCAGTGCCAATGGAACGGAAGCCAGGAAAGCCGGCTCATGCAGGATGCCAGGATCTGTGACTGTACACTTTCCCAGCACCCTACTGTAGCACTGACAGGATCGGCAGATGCAGTCCACATAATTTGTACTGCAACTCCCACTGAGCTTGCCTCTGTGCATTATGGGTTTCCTTCACCTGCTAAGGTAGGATCAGGCACTGCCTGGCAGTCAAGCCAGTGGCGCTATCAGCTATGGTGAGCCTCAGGGGTCTGATTACAACAGGGAAAGGTGACCATCCTCTTCTGCCCAGGTTGGAGGTGTGGCTCAGAGTAATGGAACAGTGGGCTACAGCATGTGGCCTTGCTCCCTCCACAGCCAACCCCCTAGGGCCCGTGAGCCAGG